AAAAAAAAAAAAAAAAAAAAAAAAAAAAAAAAAAAACGTGAGGAACCATTCAAAAAAGAAACATGACAATTCATCCAAAAACAATTGCATTAAATTTCTTTACTACGATATCATTTTTTAGAGGGTCCAAATGTCCAATGATACCTCATGTGAACCAGATTCACCTAGTGAGCTGTGACTACAATTTTTATTGCATGCAGTATTATTAGTATGATGTTTTTCCGTATAACATTATTTGAAAATTGTACTACAAACTAATAGTCATGTTTTCAACTATCCGGTCATGACTTTATATATTTTGATCTACTCATGTGTGGTTCATCAAGTCTTAAATTACTCTTATATTTCCATTGTTATTTTCGTATGAAACAATTCGTACGGAATATAGCAGTAACCATTACTTACATTTTAACACGCGCGTGGTTTTGTGAAAACATATCCTTTATAACGTGAGTTTTCATGCATGTATGCATGCATAAAAATGAAGTAACAATTTATCCTGTGAGTGGTTGAAAACATAAAAACATATTAACACGCAAAATAATATATGTTTGCTATAATTACCTTGATATGAGTTTGTAAAATAATTTGATGTTGGATCATTGTACAGTGGCTCCGTCAGATCAATATTCTCACTAAGCAACCTCGTTTGCAATTGTTGTTGTTTCATCACTAGGAGTTCCATCAGCCTATTTGCTTCGCCTTTGTTCTTCTCAATTTCAGCTTAATAAGACAGTACCTTAAGTTATCTCCACTAATGTTTTTCCACTTGTAATGAAACAACTTTATCATGGTCATGCAGATACATAGAAAGAAAACCACACACCACATACTATAGATAAAACAAGAATATCAAAAGTTAATTCAAATGGTTCATCATTTGTATTTTTTAATTAAAGCAGGTTCATTTATCCTTAAAGATAAAGTCGTAACTAAAAGTATCATTTATCCCGACCAGACAAAAATGTGTTATATTTCTTATCAAATTAAAAATAAATAAATAAATAAAAGATAAGACAGGGTTCAGAAACGCTAATTACCATTTATGAGCAATGTCTCATTCCGAAGAACTTCTATTTCCTGGTTCAATTTCTGTTCTTCCACCATCATAAGTTGCTTTTGATTTCTGCAGGAAGCTTCTTGTTGTTGAAGTTCGGCTATTTGGTCCTGCATATGTATAAACATACGTACACATATATAAATGCGTTATACTAATCATAATAACAGAAAAGTTTGAAACTTTGTCAGCTACATAGTCACACTGATTAATAAAAATTGATTTAAACTTAATGTTTTATTCCCATAAGCATGAGGTTATTACACTACACCAAAATTAATTTTTTGTGGCAATTAATTTATTATTTAGCGATCATATAAATGATTATTATTTTTTTTATCAACATTTAAATAAAGGCTGGTGTATCCAGTGTCAATAATATTATTATCGGAATTTATATAAAATAGTGGTAAAGATCTACTAAATTGTAGGAAAAACTTATTTTTTTTAGTAGCAATTTTAGTAGTCATTTTAAAGGCTATTAAAAGTTATTTTTTTCAATTGCCTCCTTTACTTTAAATAATTTATTTATATAATTTCCTTTTCTAAATTCATAACTTATATACTTTTTTTTATCTCTACTCGATGTGGGATTTATAAGATGAAGGTTGTCTTTTATTTATATATTTTTTAATTGTCTTGTCTCTTAAAAAATATGAGATTTATAAGGTGAAAGTTGCTCTCTAATTGTTTTATAACACTATTGAATTTGGTAATAATGAGTGATTTGATACTAATTTAGAATAGTGAATTAGGAGTCAACCATATAAAATGAATCTGTAAAGTGATAGTTATTACTCACTTATATACTATTTAATTATCTTATCTCTAATCGATGTGAGACTTAAGTTTTTTCTAATAAATAATTGTCTCTAATATTAAACTTTATTTTAATATAAATACAGTTGTATTTTCTATTATATATTATGCATTAATATTTTTATATATGGCAGCAATTAAATTATTATCATTAAATAATTATCGTTAATAACAAATTTTGTTGTAGTATTACTAAAATTTGATTCCGTAACAACGATCTTAATTACGTTGCGATGAAACTCGCCTAAATAATATCATTAACAATAAAAATAAAAAAAAATAAAAAATCTTATCTCCTCAAGTAAGGTTGATTTAAAAATCAATCAAATCCTGAAAGAACCTTGTTAATAACATTGAATATAAAAAAAAATTAATAACATTGATCACCTCAAAATTTTTGGCTTGAATTTCCACACTGGCCAAGGATCTTAACTTCTTCAACCTAGATCTTTGGGCTGAAAGTCGGTTTGACATGATTCTACAAAGAAATTAAAGAAGACAGATTAAATGACATGTAAGTAAACCTATTCCTATTATTCTAGATATAACTTGAAATTCAAATCAAATAACCTACCTCTTCTTCCTCTTTACTTCCATCATGTTTTGTTCATAATTAGGTCCCAAATCATGTTTTGCTTCGTGAAATTGTTCAGCTAGGTTTGAAGTAGAATCCACAATGGAAGCACCAGAATTTACTGCATTTTTAGTTGGAGACTTCTCTACCTTAATATTTTCATTAGGAGCTTGAAATGACGAAATTAGCCTCAAAGGGGGTTTAGTTGGAGCCATCTTTTCCTTTGTGTTGCCACCCATTTCACTGTTCTCCTTATATTCTTCTGTAAATGAAGAAGCAACAAAGGAATTGAGAGTTAGATCCGAAGAATTTCATTTGATGAGGCCAAATA